AGTATCTATTTGTTTTGTTAAGAGCAAACAAACTTGTGAGGCATTACTGTGAAAAAGAAACAACCTAAATAAGCAATTGATTTGGGGCTATCAGAAAGTCTTGACGAAGAAAACTAAAGGAAAGCATAGCAGAAACCTAACACTCATAAGTAAAATATTAAGTTCATAATAGTCCCAATTTAATATTTATCTAAAATATTTTTACTCTTCTGTTTGATGTGACTCCTCATCATTTAAATTATACCATTTTAACACAGTATTGGGTCAGTCAATATTATGAGGTTTTTAAAAATTAGTGTAGTATAAGGGCTTGAAAATGTGCATGAAGAAATGGTGATCTAAGTTCGCTGCTCAGAGAAACTGTTACGGTTGGTGGTGCATATAAGTATTTAAAGGGCCTGTTAATAGAAAAAAAAGCTTTAATTAGGCTTGTGTAGATTTAACAAAATCAGAGTTACTTCTGTCAAGTACTTATTTGAAGGTTTACTGATCAGTTTCTTAAATAATTTCATTAAAATTGTGATGTAATAGTTTGGGATATTCTTAAGGGTAAACACAAGAGACTTTCTTCTGACTTACCAAATACATACTAATCTAAGTGTTTGCTTGCATAAGATTAGCACTACCTAATTCAAGACTGTAGTTGAATTAGATTACATGTTAAGGTTCAAATGTGTATTTGAATATTCCAGCACTTCAAAATAAATTCTGCCGTTTTAATACATGTCACACCATGAATTTGGCATCATTAAAACTACAAAAAGATACACTATCTCTCTAAGCCATTAGCAAGATAACTGGGCATGTCCTGGACTGTTCACAAATGTTCTGATTTAAGATGGATGCAGGTATCAAGTTACTCAATACTGCAAATAATTTCAGATGCTATAGTTTGACTAAACCCTTCTCTGACATGCCTTTTTCTACAAAGATATGGACTGGCGTATGAGGCCCCTTCCTCCTGTTTCATGCTGGGGCTGGCAAACTTCAGGTTTCCAGGATCAACTTTAGTTTTTCTAGAACCTTGAGATCTGCCAGCTGGAGCCTGGTTCAAAACAGTAGCCAAGCCAAGTGGACATACGGTCAAAATTAAAGGGCAGGTTGTGGCCAGGATTTTTGTTCAGCTTTCATACAACAGTCAAGACTCATTTTTCCTCCAGGCCATCCTTTTCAGCAACCGAACTGGGGTGGGGCATTTTAACTGTTGCCATGGGTAGATAACTAGGAGTATGAAATCCTTCTGATCTATTGCAGTCCAGTCAGAGATCTTGGGCTTCTTCTACAGATTGCTGCTTTACGTAATATAAACATAAGTATAACTGCACCACATAGTTGTGTGATCCGACTTCATGATAGCTTTCTTGCACTGATCAATAGCTGCATTTTCTCTTCAGTAATATCCAAACTTCTCTCTTGACATTTATCTCCCTACTAACCAAGGTCACCTTTACCTGTGAAGAAAGCTATCTATGGCTTCACATAACTCATGCTTTTCTTCCATGGTTATTCAAAGGTGTTGTTATGTTGTTTTTAGGAAGCACAAAACCAGAAGTGCAGATGGGATTTATGTAACTCTGACAAAAACCACTATTTCTTTTTAGTAGAAAAAGCTAGCTTTGTAATAAGCTGTTCCATCTTTAATGGCTGCTATTAACTGATAAAAGGTAGCAGCATTTAGAATCTACAAAGACATGCACATCCTGATGCTGTTATGGATATTTACTAGGCTATAAATTATAATTACTCATATTGTTGTGACTTGGATCTCACACTATAGGCTGTTCCGTCTGGGTCCAGGCACCATTTGACTGAATACTGCAAGATGGCTTTCCATTTTTAGGCCCTGAGAATGGGAACAAGGTACTTGATAAAGTTCAACCAAGAAGATGTTTCGTCAGCCCTTGCCCCTGCTAGCTTTTGTCATCTAGTGGAGAGCACACGACCTGCTCTTTATAGCAGGTTATAGTTCCTCCTTGCAAGACTGAATGGTTCCAGTCTTCTTAAAGGATGTTATAGTGAGACCCATAATGGAAAAAATATAATTGGACCTGGAAGATAGGGCTGATGGTCACTCTTAATTTCCTCCACTCCCTGGCTGCAAAAACACCCCTTTAAACCCTTCCTGAGATTGCTTTCCTAATCTCGGAGCGAGTGGAGCTCCACGTTTGCTGTCCTGAAACTGGATCTGGGAATGTCTAGGAGACATTTCCGCCATAGTTCACTATATTTACAACACAACCTGTATAGTCTGAGGCAATCGTCCAGATGTTTCTGCAGCATAAGTAAATCTTGCTGTGCAGAATGATGGGAAGAAATGAAGGTGACACCATCTCACCCGCTTGCAAATGGTTTCAGGGCACATGAAATAAAACCAATATTCTTAAAGGAATAATAAATTCTTTGATCTACTGATGAATGAACTTCTGGTTTGACACTGTCTTCACAGGGAGGCTTATTTCATTTTGAAACAAGCCACAGGTTCATAAGCAATTTGGTTTTATGGCCCCTGTGATTGCAAATGGAACAGAAATCCAGAAGCAACACAACAGGGTGCTCACACAAGAGCAGTACCATCAGAGCCTGGGAAAAATGACTGACAAAATCAGTCCCAGTTTTTCTGAAAGTTAAAAAGGAGATTTAGCTGTGTAGATCCAGTGCGAGGTATTGACCTGTCTCAGAATATTCCGAACAGTACGTATTGCAGCCAAACTGAAAGTAATCCCAAGAATAGTGTATAATACTACAGATATGGTATGTGTAAACATCAGTCCATGCCTTTTTCTCTGGGAATAATATATTTTAGGGCAAGGATGCAAGTATTAGTGCATTTGTTGAAGTGCCTATATAGTTGCCACAGTTTTGAAAACTGATTTATCTACCCAGTTGCCTCCTGAAGCATGAGAGTGCAATGTTGGTCATTCTACTACAACGCAACCTTGGCTGGTTCTTCTAGCCGTATTAGGAAACTGCATATGTCCCAGGTAAAGAAGTGCTGATCAAGGCATTGGCGATTGCAGAAATGGACATATTTATTGATATAAAGTATCCATATTTCGTATTTCCATATTTGCCCTCCCGCCCCTTGAGATCGGCAGCAGAGGCCCTCCTCTGGGAACCCTCTGTGAAAGACATTAGGAGACTGAGTACCCAGAGGAGGGCTTTCTCTGCAGTGGCGCCCCGCCTATGGAATGCGCTCCCCAGAGAGGTCTGCCTGGCACCGTCGTTATTTGTTTTTCGGCGCCAGGCCAAGACCTTTTTATTTAAACAATATTTTAACAACTGTTAATATTATTTATTGGTTTTAATTCTACAGCCAGGGTGAATCTGGATTTTATGTGTACTATTTATATGCTTTGTTTATTTATTGTATTGGAAGCCGTCCCAAGGCTCATGCGAATGGGATGGCCTACAAAAACTCCAAATAAATAAACTCCAAATAAAAAGTATATGTGGCTGGGCAAAAATGTTTTTGTACCTTGTTGTTTTTGTACTTCATTTTTTTTTACTTTTTTAAAGTTTTTTTAAAGTTTTTGTACTTCATTTTGTACTGAAAAAAATATCAATATGTAAGGACTTAAGCTGAAAAGCTGTAATAACGAATAGAAAATTACACATACATTCCTCAGGTTCTGTTTACCATAAGCAACCACTGTTTGTTCACCATATGTTGCATGTAAACATTTAGTTTTAGCTTTAGAAAAGTTTGAAACAGTAAGTAATCGATCATATTTGAGAACTTAAACCTTTGTTTGAGATATTGCTTTGTGGTTTAGGCTGCAATCCTGTGGGCATGTATGTAAATGTAAGCCCCGTTTATCTCAGTTGGGCTTACCTCTGGTACAGTTGTCCTGCTAGTTCTCCTATCTGTGGAATGGCAGTACCTTGCAGAAGCGTTCACCCCAGTTTGACTTTCCCGTATTCTGTACACTTAACCGTTGTGCCACAATAACAATATTTTGCATCTTCACACTATTGAATATCTGGTGTATATCCAGTGGTAATAATGCCAAATAAATCCATTTTAATTCCAGGTTGTAACCACACAAAATGAAAGAGACAGAAGAGGGTAAATACTGTGTAAGGCACTGTGCAACTTTGTTGTTGTAGAATGAGGGAGGAGAGTACCAAAGGACATGATACAGGAGTAAATCTTGGTAGGAGAGATCCAGGTTTTCCTAATATCAGCCTACTGTAAACATGAGAAACAGTAGGCTGATATTAGGAAAATCTGTTTCTGTTACTTTTTAAAATTGTGAATTGACATCAATACATTGCATAATTTGGGCTGGTTCCAAAGGGCTACTTCTTCCATCGTGTCCCCAGTTTTTGCTGACTCTCAACTTGTCACATCCCAGATCCAAGGGGCATTCCTAAAAATATTTTTGAAAAGATGCACAGAAGCTGCATTGCACCACCAGAAATTATCCATATGAGAGAATCCTCCATTATTAAAGAGACATTGTAGTATCCCAAAGTTTTTGTTGAGTAAAAGGTAGACTAAATTTCACAAACGTGTCAGGTGGACATCAAGGCAGCAATGCACCCATCAAGCAGTATCTCAAATTCCCAAATGTGCCTATGAGTCCAGAAAGGTTGAGGATCCCTGGCATAAACCTTACTGAGATAGACTTCCAATGGTAGCTTCCTCATATGATATGAGGCAACTTTCTGTCTGTCTGCCTATAATCCAGCCTTTTGGGCAAAATCCAACATTATGTGAACAGGCATCCACTCATGAAGTGAAAGGGTCCCTTCGCATCACTCCTTTGCAGCCCCCTGGTGTGCTGTGGAGGGTCCCTCAACTCTCTGGGGAAGATTTGGGGCAGCAGTGGGAAGAGAGATTTGATCCACCACCGGTGTTGGTTCCTCTGGGGATCGGATGCCATTAGAGGTGAGCTTACAGAGGTACCAGTGTTAGAGAGGTTAGGATGCATCTTACTGCTTTGCTTCCCACATTAAGTTTGGCATTTGAGTTTCTAACTGCATGCTGCATTTTTCAGGAAACAGTATACTACATTCAGCAGCAGACAGTGTGACCAGCGCGGTACAGAAGGCGAGCCAGGCTTTGAATGAGCGTGGTGAAAGGCTAGGTCGAGCAGAAGAAAAAACAGAGGATATGAAGAACAGTGCCCAGCAGTTTGCAGAAACTGCACACAAGGTATGAAATTAATAAAGCGCTGCTTAAAGAAAAGAAGGGAGGCACCATTTTGAGACCACAACTTCTGTAAAAAGAAGGTTGCTAGGAAACTGCTGATGCTAATGCACAACATTACTTCCTTGCATTGGATTTAATCTTTTATTAGTTCTGTCAAACTCATTAATTCTTCCCTAAGCCTCAAGGTCAGTTGATGGGGGTCTGCATCGCATCACTTTTTTGCTTTCAGGCAACATTTTCCACATCAACATCTGTGTCAAGAATCCCCAGGCACTTTCTGTGGCATAGTTTCACTGCCATGGATGGCAGTTGTCCTGTCAAGTATCACAGTTGCCCTCTGCAAATGGAGATGAAGACCTAGAACCCATCGGCACTTTTGCAGCTGTACATTGCAGGAGGCATGCATAAGCAGTGATCAAAGTGTCTTTTAAGGAAACGTATTTAGCTACAGCATATATTGCTGTCCAAGGTTGTATCCCTGCCACTGCCACCTAAAAACATTTCTTTGCTTAGCACTGATGGGTTTATGCTCACCATGAACTGGCTTATTTAAAATTTAGATGAACTGCTGCTATTTTGTTTCTGTTTCTCCTGATGTGTAACGGCCTGTGTTTTTCAGTTTTGTTGTATTTTGTTTGTCCAATGCTGCACTGAGTTCTTGATCGTAGATGGCAAGCAAGGGTTTGCCCCAAGCAAGCAGTGCAGTCAGATTCTATTTTGTGCTTCCGTTTGCTCTTTTCCGTTATGCTACAGTTGGCACCAGAAGACAAAGGTTGCCCCCAGCACTGCAAAATACATCCTTTGGAATGCAATAATAATTTAAGCATTATACCTACTATATATTCATAGTTAGTCTTCTGTTGATGGGGTATTACTATAGCTTAGAGCTATTCAGCACATTTCACATTATAATGCAGAGCTTATCTTTCTAATAATGCTTGCAAATGCTAATCATTTTCTTATTTGCCCAAGATGTGTGCACACTCCTTTTTAGAGGTATAATTTTTCATCTAACAGTTAAGAAACTCCTAGCAGTTTACCAAGAAGTTTATCTGAATAACTTTTACCCAACCAGGGATTTTGATTCATGATGCTTCTCCTTGGCACATGGTTGCCATGGCAGACCCCTGGTGGCATTTCTTTCATCGTTAGTTATGTGTATGAAGAGTTGTTTGGAGCAGCCACCACTAATTTACGCAAGAGCTTCTCTAATGTCAGCAGAAATGGTTATCTTGCTTTCTGAATCTTTATCTGTTGAGATAATATATTAAATATTTGCATCCCTCACTTACAGTTACTAGCTGTTTCTACTAGCCTTCCCTTCCCACTATATTGGGATATCTTTAGAGCATACACCTTCCCTTTAACAAATACCATTTCAAGCAAATAAGGTGCTGGTGCAACTGTTCCAGGCAAATTGCTAGAGGCTGTATGCAGAGCAGAAGCAGAGCTAAGGAACAAAGTGTGCCTTACATTTTCTGTTAAACAGAAGCTATGCATATAGCAAAGAATTAAGCTGGAGCTAGAGGTATTTTTCCTCCAGACAGGAACAAAACTTGAGCTCTGTTGAGATTTAAACAGAATTCTCCTCAAAACAAGGTTACAAGTTCATAATGCACCTCAGAAGTTAGACTACCTTAAGTCCTGTTTGTTTCAGTGGGTTTACTCTATGGAGGAGTAATATTGGATACAAGCACAGTTAAAATTGTCATCTGTACAATGTGTTCAAGCACATCCCAAGATTTATTCATGTACAGTTTAAAAATATGAATGTTCTATATTATCTGTTAACATTTCTAAATTAAAATAGAATTATCTTAGGCACCATTTTTTTAGTGCATTGCTAAAGTTGCTTGCTGGTCAAGCTTTCTATCAAATCAATGTTACGCATGCTTCTCCTTGAGTTCTAATCAATGCACCCTCTCTGACTCCTTAAGCATTGGTAATGACAGCTGCTCACAGCAAAGGGGCAAATGTTAGGATGTGTAGTTGAAACTCTGAAAATAATGTATAAAAATGTTGGCATTCCATATTCCTAAAGCATCTAAAATTACTAGCTGCTGTTCATAAAGTGACGGACAGTGGATCAATTCCATCCTCCTGGATATCAAATAGGCTATGTATAACATATCCCCAGGATTTTTCCCCCCACGTGGATTAGTTTTAGACATAAAATCTTCATCCGCAGAATATTACACAGTTCGGTGTGACTAGGACTTCATTTCAGGGCTGGAGAGATCATCCTGGCTACCCTACAGCTCACCTTCCCAGATTTCAGTTGTGCTGCCTGCAGTCTTCCCCAGCTCTTCAGACACCACACAAGCCTCTCCTCACATGCCTAGCTCAGTTCCTCCCCAACCTGCCCCACCAGTCATCTTGCCTTAAGCTTTCTGCACACAACTGACTTCTTTGCTAGGCATCTAGCCTCCTGCCAACACATTCACGCACTTCGTAATGTTCACATCCCAAAGACTGACGTATTCTTGCTTACTTGGAATATGCTGCTACTTACTTGCCCACCCTGGCATTTCAAAACACGTCTGCAAACAAGAGAAAGAAATTTCCTGGATTTTTACACCCATGCTTGAGTGCAAACCAAATCATATTTATATTTGTGTGGGTGCAAATACAGATCAGTGATGAACACTTCTGAGTGAGCATAGTTAAAATAAGCCTTTAAAGGTTTATTTTAAAGGTAGGGGAGATTGGTTGGGGTAGTGAAAGGCCTCTTACAGAATTCTAAACCAGCATGACTGTTTTCCTGTATGATGCAGTTTGGGGACTGGTCACCTTTTTAATTTCCTGATGAATTTGTGTTGTGGTGCATGTACAGGTGGAGAACATTCAGGACTTCTCGGTATCCAAAAATACCGTCTTTTTTTTTTTTTAAGAAAAAGGGTAATTTAAAATATTGGATCACAGAGTTGAAAAATCTTGACACTAGTTATTTTTAAGCCTTGTATTTTGTATCTGCACTTTTCGGTAGATAATGATTTTAAAAACACTGAATTTCTGTGTTGCTTTCCTATTTTTTAAGTGGCAAAGCAAAGCAAGCTAATTATTATGGCCCATGTTTACTTTTGATTACTTTGAAATAGCTGCTGCAGAAGTCAATTATCTATCCAAGTTGCCAGTTTATACGCTGCGTATCAAAGCCTTATCTGTGAATATAAATAATCCTATACCAGCAAAAATCCTAATGATGTCCATTAACATTTTCAAAGTTTTAAATGAAACAAAAAGGAGGTGCAGTAGTTTCATGTTTAAGATGCCTTTCACAGTCCACGCAAAGACCTTGCTTGAAAAAAGAGGCACAGTTGCTGTGAATTCTGCTCATCTCCTGATAACGCTGTTGAAAACTCTAGATACTGAACTGTTCTTTGGTGTGTAACCGCGAATGGGCTTTGGTGGGTACATCACATAATAGCCAGATGGTAACTGAGAGCTGATACTTGGAATATGCAGCTGCTTACTTGCCCACCCTGGCTTTTCAAAACATGCGAAAGAAATTCTCCTGCAAACAGGAGAAAGAAATTCTGTGGAGGATGGAAAAGGCCATCACTTCGTGGTCGAGCACGTGCCTTGCATGCAAAAGCCACCTTTATCGGTCTCTGGCATTTCCAGGTAGAGTGGGAATAGAACTGTATCTTGCAGCTGCAGAAGCATGGACGGCATGGAGGCAGAAGGGCAAAAGGCCTGATATGGCACAAAGCTCCTTCCTATGTTTCTGTGAGCAGGTTTGGCGATCAAAAGGAATGGTATATCACATCATTCCCAGCATGATCCAGGCCTGCTCGTGGGACCAAACATTAAACATCAGCCTTGGCTGAGTGCCAAATGTGGCATGCCAAATTAGCTGCCTTTCTGCTGACCGGATGGACACCTTCTTTTATGTTTGCTGCATGGGGATCGCAGCTCCTCATATTGAAGGTATTCAGTGGCCACATGCATGCAATGCTCCAAATGATGGTTTAGAAGACCATGAGCAAGACCTTGTAATTCAGGTGTGCCTTCCTGATATTTTATTTATTGGGTTATTTAAAACATGTTTATCCTGTCTTGTATCCAGACCGAATCTCTAGACAGCTCACAGAATACTAAACTGTTACAGTATGTTCAATAAATCCAAATTCAAAGTATAAAAATATGCAGTAAAAACAATTCTGCATTAAATAGTAAAACCCATTCAAGCATTAAAATACCGGGTAAATCAAAAGGTCTTGGCATGGCACAGAAATAAATAGTCAGTACCAGGTTCCATAGCTGGGGGTCCCCACTGAAAAGGCCTTCCCTGGGTAGCCACTCTTCTCACCTCCTTCAGAGAGGGCTCCCAGAGAAAGGCCCTCAGTAGAAGGTCTCGAAGTTCAGGCTGCTGCATATGGAAGGAGATCTTCCTTCAGATCGTTTGGCCTGCAGCTCCCATGAACCGTCACCATGGCTTACACTGTCCCAGGCTAATGGTTCTTGTGAGCCCAAGCAGATGGAGGGCCATCCTTGCTGAATATGCCTCCTCTTCTCATCGCATACAGGGACTAGGTCTTTAGCTCCTGTATAAATCATTATTTCACCAAGGCATCAGAACCAGCAGACTGTGGTCTGAACTATTCCTCCAGAATAGGGTGATATACCATGTTTAGTTTCTGGTTTGCAATCCCGGCTTTGAGGGATCCCTCAATCACAGATTGTTGGTTTGGAGGTTCCAATGGAAGGAGGGGAAGTTTATGCAATTTATTACACAGGGTCTAGCTGCTATTGCATTCAACATCTGTATGCAACCTTCCACAATTTGCTATTGTTTAGTCCAAAGGAATAGATTTTTAAACTGTCTGTCTGTCTGTCTGTCTGACTGACTGACTGACTGACTGACTGACTGACTGACTGACTGACTTATTTAAAACTTTTCTATCCCACCCTATTACAAAGAGTCCCTGGATGGTCTTAGCTGACCTTCAGAATCTCAGACAGTAAAAGCAACTCTCATCATGCCATATTAATACGATAAGATTTTATTATAGCAGGAAATAAAGGCTCATGCACCTGAAGAAACTTTTCTTTGTATTTCAACCCAATAAACATGTTTGCTAAGCTGAACTTGTCAATATCCTGCTACAGTTGCAAATAAATGTTTTATTGTCTTTTTCTCTCTTTTTACCCCCAGCTTGCCATGAAGCACAAGTGCTGAAAATGCCTAAGTAGAGATCTTTCCAAGAGGAACTGAAAAGCTAGGTTCATCCATTTTTACTGGAGACACAACTCATGTCTGCTTCCCACCCCCTGCAATTCAGTGAAGCCCAGTTATTTCAGTCACAATACAAAAATGAGTTGCATTCCTACCCTTTCTAAGCCATTTACCATTTTAAAAATGTAACATAAGAGGTGGTGTTGAAAAGGACCAAAGGACCTACTGAACTGCATTGATCTGCTGCATCCCATTTTTCCCAGTATTAAGAAGGAAGAAATAAATTTAGCCACAAGACAGATTGCCAAATAGATAGAAAATTCAGTTGCTTTAGAAATGCCTCCTAGAACCATTTCTGGAGTTGCATGGTTCATGTCTTCTGTCTGGTTTCCTATGAAAGACAACCAGGCTTCTCATTTTTGCCATTCTGGTAAGTGCATTTCACACGTGCCATCGCAAGTACAGTGGTAAAACCTGAGTGGGAGATGTCACCCTACTGTCAATGCCACACTTTACAACTTCTCTTCCCTTTATGTCCAGATTTATTTTGTGCACTGTATGATAATGTCACCAGGAATGCTAGAATGCACACCGGATGCTAGAACCTAAGGAAATCTGAGGATTAGTGCTGCAATCCTATGCAAGATTAGACAGGCAAAAGGACCCCTAACTCGTGGCTGAGGCATGCTGGGAATCACAGTCCTTTTTCTGTCTAATCTTGAATAAGATTGAGGCTAAGTTTCCAAAACATGCCTCTGCATTTAATCTGGAATTTAGTCATTTTCTAAAACAGCTTTTCCCTTTGTCAAGCGTTTTTGTTTTACAAATCCATATTATACAGGAATTATTTCAGCATTTTAATGTAGCCACAAAGACAGCCCTGCAAGCGCCTGCGGTTTTACTCCCAGAACTGCTTCCATTGGATAAGGCTGATAGCACTGTTTCTAACACCACATTCTGGCGGGTCTTTGTGAGGGAAGAACGAGGCTGCACTGCACTTCCGCCACTCAGTCACCATCTTAGTAACAGGAAAGTTATTTTAAATAAAATACCCTGCTCTGGCTTGCATGCTGTGGTAAAAGGAACTGCTTATTTCAAGTTTGTTCAGAACTAACAAAGCTAATTCAGGCTGAGAAGCCTCTTGGATTGGGACCAACATGAAAGGGAGTTGTGCATGGAGCATGAAACGTCTGTTCATGGAACAGGAGTTTTCCTTCCTGGTGCACATGGCTGGGAAAGGGGTACATGCAGTTATAGGGAGAAGGGAAATGTGATGGAGTGCTTGCTATCTGGAGCTCGTTCTTCTATAGGGCTTCATCTCCCTAACTTCCTTTCAGGAGGTCACATTGAATGGAGAGCCTGGATCAGTCCCTCTTCCTCTCTTAGCCCTGAACTTAGCTTGGGCACAGAAAGTTATATCCATAAGCAGTGTGTGGGCATCCCAAATGAAACTCAGCATTGCTGTCATCCTGTACACTATTTATAAGCTACAGCCCATTGTGGTTTTTGAAGCTCCTGCTGAATAAAAAGTAGCAGGGAAACAAGGTGTGCCATCTCTTTACTGCAGCAAATTTGATGGGGATACAGGTGGCGATTTAGTTGCCCACACCTTAAATATACTCATGCATGTTCTATCAAATTCCCAGTAAATGTATCAGAATTTCTAATGGCCCTGAGCTTTCTGTATCTAATTTGAAAATTTAGATCCAAAAAGTTTTGCACAAGCAGAGTTTAATGTTCTTCTTTAGCTGTCATATTATGAATGGCAATTGGAACAACTAATGGATTTCTAATGAAGCAGTCAGATGAAGGAGACGACCGGCTGGGAGAGACTGGGGTGAAGAAACTCCCACCTTTTTATGTCTTTTTGTGCAACAAAGGAAAATGAACAGCTTACTGATGAACTGCTAAATCAACATAGGGAGGGTTTATTTATAGATTAACTGCGCATTAAACTCATCTGCTGTCGTAATACAAATTGTCCAGGACCATCCGAGTGTCTTCATGAGCAGCCTTTGAAGCTCTAACAGCACAAGCCTGCCAGTCAGTTTTCGAACCAAAGCAATCTGACGAAATACAACGCCTTCACTTCCATCCAGGCTGCGTTTGACCCACTGGCTCCCTGCTTCAGCCACCTGTAAGGAAAATTCCACCCCTCACAACAACTTGGTCCTTGGAAATTGGCCTGAAGCTTCTTCCATCTTTCCCAAAGCAGGTTCATACCTTTTCCCCCCATTATTCTTCCTAGCTGTTCTGAGGGTTAAAATGAACCAATACCGCCGGTGAGAGTACAAGTTACAAATGTTCCACTAATGCATTCACACTACCAGTTTGGCTGAAGTTAAATTTTGCCAGGTGGTTACCTTATTTATAACACTGCAGAGTGATCAGAGGAGTTCTCAGGGCAAGCTGTGATGTCCTGCAGCCAGATGTGGGCGAGGTTTCTGCAATGCTTTTTCCTGCCAACGGGGGCATGTGTGAGCAGCACCAAGAGGAGTCTTAGGCCATTGTGTCCTCGCTACTCGCTGGAGCTATCTGCATAAGTGGTGGCATCGTTCACGCAGAGCCCCCTGCCTTGTGGAAGCGCATTGTGGAGGCGCAGTCCCCATGTGGCTGCAGCAGCGTGTGAAGGAGGGGACTCAGATCGAAATGTAGAGTGCATGAATGAAGATTAGGTGATAGAGAAAGCACAGGAATGCCACACAGAATGGGCCATACACCATTTGGATCTCAGTCCCCACCCTGTTTGTTTGTTATCACTTGGACTGTGAATTATTATTTAATGTGTGTTTTATTTATTTTGCACATGTTTGCATTTCAGGTCTGTAACAAAATTGGCTTATTGTCAATACAGAGCTTGTTTGCAAGCTGCCAAACAAACCTCTTGTAATTTTGATCAACTTGGTGCATCAAAAAAGTAGATCATAATTTCTAGTCCTGCTTTTTTCTTGAATCTATTTAAGTTGGATGTATTTTCCTTAGGATAATTAGAAGCAGGTTTACCAACATCCAATACTGAAGATAAACATGATAGTGTTAAAACATCCTGGACAATAGATATAGCATATAATTCTAGTATTAGGTGTTTGTGTACATGAGGTATACAGTAATTCAAGTTAAAGTTTCATATTCAAAAGTGTATTTGTAAAAAGTAAGAAAATTAATAGTTTCCTTATTACCTTTTTTTTTTAATTCTGCAAAGAATGAAAGTCATGTGTTACTAGACTTAATGGTGTTATACCTGCAAGATCAGGCCTAACAGCCTATTTCTGTGGCTAGCAAAACATCGTGCAATAATGTGAAAATATTAACCGAACCTGCTCTCTGAACAAGTGATATTAAAGTTTGTTTTGCTTAAATATGCCAAAAGTGTAATATTAGTTGATACATTTCAAAGGTTCCATGGGTATGGAGACCATTTTGTGCCATTCAAAATAAAAGAGATCTTCTCTGTTGCTTTATCTATTCTAACCCTATCGTTATCATTAAAGATCTTGTCATTCAATGAAACACCATTCTCCTACATTATTTGGTGGAGGCAGACATGGATGCAATTACAGCTTGTAGAAGAAACCTTTGATTCCACATGTCCCCCTTTTGGTCCCGCCCCTTCTAGGACTCCAGTGCTAGCAATGCCACACTTCAGTGGGTGGCCTGTCTTGAGAGAAGAACCCCTCCGCCTACCTCCCCAGTGGTGGTTTGTTTACACAACTACCGTCTGGTGACCACTGGACCAGTCCCCCTTGTTGGTGCCCTGCAAGCCAGTCAGGTGCAGCCACTGGTTTGGTTTTACCTTACCTTGCAGCCAAAAGAGGCAAGATTTTTCTCTGGTGAATATATAAATGTTTGTGTAATTCCATGTGGATACATACGTGCTCAAACCTTTTTGTCATGCACACTCTGCAGGATGTCTCAGGACCCACGTGCACAAGTGCTTTCTCCCCCCGCACTTGTGCACACCCTGCGTATAGTGACATAGGATGCAGGCCCTGTTCGTATGTCCAGTCCGTGGAAAGCGTTGTCCTCTAAGGTATAAGAATAAGGGTATAAGAAAGGATTACGTGTACACATACATGCATCATCATCATCATCATCATCCCCTGCCTTTCTTCCTCTTGTAAGGAACTCAACACAGCTAACAAGATCCTCCTCCTTTCCATTTTACCCACAACAACAACCCTGTGAGGGAGGTAGTCACAGAGTCTGTGTCTGGTTCAAAGTCACCTAGTGAGCTTCAGGGTTGAGTGGGAACTAGAACCCAAATCTGTCAAGTCCGGGTCCATTACTCTAACCACTACACAACACTGTGCAGACAAGGGTGTACCTGCATGCATTATCTGTGTGTGAACTGGCCTTTATGTCTGCATACATGTGTACACTCATATGCACCCTTAGCACATTCCACTTACTCTTTTCTGTTTACAAATACTGCAGCCTCTTGAACCTTAGCAGACATTTCCTCCTTCATTAACTGGCAGAAGTGCCTAATAAAATATTGACGTACTTCTAGGGATCCATAAGGAACCGGCCATTCAAACTAAAGATTTCACTGCTCATATTTATTGTATATATGCCTTAACTAAATGACTTACACAACTTTGGCCACTGGTTTTAATAGTACTCGAGACAGATATGATTGGCTAAAAAGAATGTGATTCCATTCTGTGGCCTGAAATATATGTAGTTTCTTCTAGAAGAAACCGATTGTTGATGATTGTCATATTTTGCATAGTGTCATCTAAAGTTATTGTAGTTTCTTATCACACCTGTTCTGTAAATATTCATGAAAAGGTATGCTTAGCAACCTGCTACGTGCACATTAGAAAGGCGGTGGAATCCATCCATCTTCTTGAAGAATGAATGCGCTGTAGCTTTAATTGGCTACCACATTGCTGGATGTTGTGAATGCAGTTTGTCCCTTCCGTAAGTGGCTCCTTTTCTTCCTCCCAGGTCTGGAATCATTTGGACTCATAGACTGGGATTTTAGCTACTTACAAAATATAATCTGGCAAAAATAGAGTTTATTGTATGAGATAATTTGTTGTGTGTGACTCAAATACAACTGTAAAACTATAATTTTGTTTTCATAATAAAGATTTTAATAAGTACACGGATGTTGCAATGTTTTGTTATATTTTAGAACAACACAGCCACCCAAAAAGGGTTTTAGAAGTACACAGCTTAAAGACTTGCTTGATGGTAGAGATACCAGAGAAATCCACAAGGGACTGAATACCTGCAAGCCAGTTTTTCACTGCTGGATGAGAATCGCACAAATTCACATTCATGCATTTGTAAAAATGTGCAATGGGCTAATGTATAACTGCACTTATCTTAGTTAATTTGCATTAGCTAATGCAGATTTGCACAAGTGCATGTTACCATTAATACAAATTAGCACTACTGCAAACTGGTGCAAGTAGAACAAAATTATGCTTAAAAAATCATGATGTGAATGCATGCATGATGGAATCAAAACTGCCGGACAATCCACAAAATTCAGCTGGAATGGATTCAACACGATTTATACATTTCTATTTGATGGAAATGCCAGGAAATTCCATCACTGTAGGGTTACAGTCAGAAAACTGACCTTAATTAGGTCCTCTGAAACCACTTAGAGTATTAACAGGTTCATACTGGTGCAGCAGTTCTCCAAACAATCTCAGCCTAGGACAATTTTCCACACATTTTTAGCAGATTGACTTTTATTTTTGAGTCTTGTGGAGCCTTTACACCCCTTTTTAGGGGGATTGACGGGGAGATTAATACATTTGTGGATAGGGTGATCCTGTATGCTCCCAAAAGCATTTGACAAAATCCCTCAACAAAAACTCTTGAGCAAACCTACCAGTCATTGGGATGAGAGGTGAGATCCTCTTATGGACCAGTAACTGCTTAAAGAATAGACAACAGAGAGTACAAATAAATAGTAAATTTTCCCAGTGAAAGAAAGTAAATAACAGGGTGCCATAGCATTTCATCTAATAAATGTTCTGGACTTAGGAGTGAGCAGTGAAGTGGTCAGATTTGCTGATATTAGATTACACAGAGGAACTATACACAAAAGAGCTTAACATCCCTGATAACCATGATGGGGTGGTCACTGACCTTGAGCCAGACATCCTGGAATGTGAAGTCAAATGGGCCTTGGGAAGTCTAAGCAACAACAAAGCTAGTGGAGGTGACAGTATTTCAGCTGAGCTATTTAAAATCTTAAAAGATAATGCAGTAAAAGTGCTACATTCAATATGCCAGCAAATTTGGAAAACTCAACAGTGGCCACAGGATTGGAAAAGGTCAGTTTACATTCTGATCCCAAAGAAGGGCAATGCCAAAGAATGTTCAAACTACCACACCATTGCACTCATTTCACATGCTAACAAAGTGATGCTCAAAATCCTGCAAGCTAGGCTCCAGCAGTATGTGGACCAAGAACTGCCAGAAGTACA